ATTTTAAGGTAAAATTGTTTGTATTTATGCTACACACAGGGAAACCAAAGCATGTACACAGAGATTTGGACTGAGGTCAAACTAGTAGTCAGCAGTCTTATTGCTCGGCTGCTGGTAGATCTGTTGATCTATGCATTAGTGCTTGTCAGAAGTATATGATTGCTGGTGGGCGAATGTTTAAGCATCTTCAATAAATTTTCATTTATATACCTCAATGTCATATTGTAAACATGTGGTTAACAGACATGCTGCAATATTTTCTTTTCCTAATACTGCATTTCTCCTTATTTGTTTACTTCTAGCACTCCTGGGTTTGCATTTAGCATATGATCCTGTAGGTTCATATGCTTTGAGTACAATTTGGAGTACACTAGACCATATTTTAAAGGCACACCAAATTTTGAACCATATGTTGCAAATACATTTAGTATGTACACAGAACACAGATACATTTATAGATGAAAAATAAATAAGTTAATGCATGAATTAAATACACATATTCACATAAAGATAAGATTGCAGTGGAATGATATAAACTTTACAGAAGTAATAACATATACATTTGCAGAAAGTTTCCATTTCAATGGAATGACATAACTAGGACTTTTAGGTACTTAACATATTTCCCCCTCTATTATTTTTGACAAATAAAACTATTAATAATGTAATTTAATGCCAATAACAGGTGAACATGACCTGTTTATAAGCCCCAACCCTCAATCAACCAGTTTAAACTGGTGCACATACTCAAAATATTAAAAAAATCAAGGGTTTGGCAAAATGGTGTAATAAACACACTGCATGTCATCACTCAGATATCAGTATTTAAACAAATTTACATGGTGTTAATGTTACAAAGAAAATAGTTATTATTTTAAATACCATTAGAGATTTTGATCAACTAAAATGAGTGGCATAAATTTTGCTGAATTTGTTTGAGAGATTTTTCTCAAAACTAATATTCATTTGTTTCTACATGCTAGCTAATTTGTATCTGTTGATTATCTAATTAATAAAGAGCAATCTGGTCCTCCAAACTTCCAGAATGACTGGTGCAATTTTGAAGGATCTCTGTCAATTTTCACTGCTGACAGGAAAATATGTAAGTACCAATTTTTAGATCACAGAAAATTTTGTACACATGAAAACAAATAAAGAAAAATATAAAATCTGGTATATTTACAAAATCCAGAAATATCTATATGACATGTGACAACAAAGCAAGTTAAGAGCAAAAACACTGAATTTGTGAATAAGGGTAGACAAAATACATGCAGTGTTGACATGCACATTTTAAAATTAGCAAAGATTACTAAGTATTCTAACAACTATAATTTATAATGCAACAATTAATAAATAAGTTAATCAAAACAAATATCTATAATCCATTATTATTAACAGTACATCTATTATTGTACATAAATTACATATAAACACAAAATAAATCCCTCTTACAACTATTTAACATCTTGCAAATTAAAAATAAATAAGAAATAATATCACATTTTGGGTAAAGACAGTTTGAAACAATTCATTTTACTAACAAATTAGATAAATTTACAAAAAATTATTCTTTGCATTTATCAATAAATTGTCAATTTCTTTGCAAACAAATAAAAAATAATCTCTAAATAACACTACTCAAATATGAGAATTTTGATAAAGATATGTCTAAAAGTGTATCTCATATAAAAATCGATCTTTCTCCATCATTCCTGCGAAACTACTAAGTAAAACAACTTGCACATAAACTATATTAATATCTGAAAATCTAACTGTAAGGAATTTGTTTAATACAATGAAAATAATTTATATAATTGAATCAAAAAAAAAAAAAAAAAAAAAAAAAAAAAAAAAAAAAAAAAAAGAGATAATTATCTCATTACTAAAAAAATAATTTAAGAAGCTTTTTAAAATATAGATACTTTTTGAGACCATTAGATTAAAGCCATAATAATTAATAAATAAAATAAAACAGAAATTTTAAACTTTGGAAAATTTTTGTTTCTAGAAATTTCACCTTCAACTCTTAACATGAGGAAATGTGAATAAACACATTTATTTTTTCAGAAACATCTTCAAAATATAAATTTCAGTGAAAATTTACCATATCTCAGTTAAAGGTCTAGTTTTATCTCCCAAATGTATAGAAAAATAACTTAATAATTACAAAAATTTTTAAATAAAACTGAACAAGCAGTTAATATTTTTCTTTGAATCCTCCTTCCACATGTTTAAAAAATATCTAGCTTTTGAAGCGAAAAAGACTTTTTATTAATAAAAACACCTATGCATTTTTAAATGCGTTTTCATATAACACTAAATAAATTTTGTGTAACTTATTATCAAATGCACAAAGAACATACAGATTAGGCATCTTTTTACTTGTTCAAAAAATAACAAGAAGAGAGAAGAAATTAATACACATTCAAATTTTACAGAAATATAAAACAAACATAAAGACATTTGCTTTAAAGTTAAAAATAGAAAATTAAGATATAAAGAATATAATTAAAACATCTGAAAACTGTTATGAACTTCTCTGTTACATCATTATACATTTTTACAGATTTACAGACAAAAAAATTACCAATTGACCTTATTTCTTAAATGTTACATTATTTGTAATTATTAAACAAGGCTTTTTAAGCACATAAACTGTACTACTCATTCAGAATAAATATCCTAAAAAACACAAACCAACCTGAATGAGTCAAAAAAATGAGTCAGATTTACACAATTTAGAGTGAATTTCTGCAAGAATACTTACATTACATAACAATGGAGTATTGATGCTTTCAGTAATTAACAATACTTTTCCTTCTTTTTGATGATAGTATTTATTTACAAGATAATTATGTATTGTGTTAATCACACAGTAGGAAATCTATACATTAATGTCACCATATCAAATATTTAAAAACACAAAATTAAACTGCCTTAAATAACTAATGTACCTTGCTCAGCAATAATGTAATACACATTAAATGATTTCCCTGAAAATTTTTAGGCTAGATTTAATAAAATATTTTGAATGTAATTACTCCAAATTTTCTTTCACAAATATTTTGACTGTTGATTATAGTTAATACAGTTTTGAAGATACCCCAACATGTTTTGGGCATTATTTTATAATTTTTATTTAACAACATTATTTTATAATTTTTATTTCAGTTTTTTAAATAATATATATTGGAAGTGATTCTGTTCGAACAGGTTACAGCATCCAGTGGAAATGTGTTTCTGCTCCAGAAATTTACTCAGTTAATACAAATTTGAAAAATGGCCACATTCATCTGCTACACAGAGAATAACTATGAATATTTTATGCAAAATTTAATTACAAATAATGAAACAATGAAAAAACACATCTCAGGGTTTTCTATGAATATTTTCCATTAATTAATGTAGAAAAGTTGAAAAAACTGAGCCATTACTTAGTGGGAGAACTAGACACATATACAAATTTCATTCTAAGATTAAGGGAAATATCGAATCTAAGGAACAGTACTTATTTTCATATATTTCACTTTTGATATTTAAAAGACCACAGCCCTCATACAACAGTCTCACTAGGACATGGTTCGAGAGCTGGGAAAAATCACCTTATCCCAGTTTAAAATGACATTCCATAACATTATTTTGCTTTCATACAAACTAACCAACAGTTTGTTTTACTGAAACTGCCATTACTAAGTATCTGTGATAAAACTGTAGATATTTAAATATCTTATTGTATTAATGATTAAAGTCTTTAATATTAGTATACAAAAATAATACACAATAAAGAAAATCATCATGAGGCAAAAATTTAGAAGACCAGAAAAAGAAGAGAAAAATTAATTAATCATGTCCACTTAAATGAACAGATAAAGTTTTACATAAAGATCCTTCCTCTGACAGAGGGTTCAAAATTCAAGATGAAACTTTATGAATGCTTAAGCTACAAGCAATTAAAGTTGCAAAAATCTCTCAGCTAAAAGCAAACAATAATAATAATAATTTAAAAAAAGAGAGAGAGAGAGGGTGTTTTTTTTTTAATATTAAATACAGAATTTAGGATATTGTGGAAGAAAAGCTCAGCAGATGAAACATTTTTGAAAAAAAAAAAAAAAAGAGGGGGGGGAAATTATGTAATATTAGCTAACACTTTTGATTAATTAATACTTTTAATACAAAAAGTTCTCTTAGTTTCAAAATAAAATAATACAGTTTTTATTTTTATTTTAAAATATTATTATTATTTAACTTTTAGAATCTAACAATGTTTTCTAAAATAAGTTCTTTGGTTTTTAGCAACACAAATTTGACTAACACAGCACATTTTAGAAAATCTAAGGACAGTATTGCAAAGGATTTACCTACGTTCTATAACACTTTTATCATTTCAAAATAAAAAAAAACTTTTAACTAAAAGGATTTTAGCTTAACAAGCTTTTAATTTTTTAGCTTTGATGTTATTATTTTTGCTTCTAAAGTACATTACAAAGAAATTTTTAAAAATGCTAAATCACTTAAAATAAATATTATTTCCCAAATGAAAAGTTACTTTGTAAAATGCACATGACTAAGTCTACAGTTTTATTTATACTTCCCAAGCATTTCTTCATTAGTATAAATATTACTGATATGGTTAGCCATGGAAAGGGGAGAATAATTAATTTTAATAGACATAGAGGATAATAGAGGACTCTTTTCTTTCTTTCTTATTATTATAACTAAATCCCTTCTTTATTCTTTTAGAAGATACTTTACACACTTGATGACTATTGGCACATAGATCGAAAAAAATGTCTTTAGAAACTAAAATGTGTCTATGGATACAAAGTCACATATTTTGCAAACTTTCTCCTACGTTTTCTTTGTCGGAAAAACAAGAAAATAATTATTATCAATAAAGCTGAAACTAAATAAAGGGAAACACAAAGACTAATGTCTGCAAAAGTAAACCACTTAAAGTTCCACTTTTCAAAATATGAAACACTTTTAAACTGAATTACCATAGAAGAATTCTCTACTCCTGCAATCTGGTCAACAGACAGAGCTTCTTTCACTTGCGGAACTTGTGAGTTGATGATGCTGTCTTTTCCATAAAAGTGTTGAAGATATCGTAGAACAAGAGCTTTATCCCACTGGATATTTCCAGATTCATCTTCCTCAATCCGACATTTTCCACACATTTCTTTAGTTGGAAATTGAATCTTGGGATACTTTGGATCCTCAGTAACATCACCAGCTAGCCTCTGATTTACTCTGTTATGTGCATTCCATAACCAAAGTGCAGCCTCTCGAGCTGTGCTCACTTCATCTTCAAGATTTTCTGCCATTTTTGCAAAATTCTGAGAACATTCTTCACAAGTGAAAAAATGCTTAACATAGTCTCTAATAGTGAACAAAGCATTTGTGCCCCATTTCTTCATATCTGAAATATAAAAATTAATGTAATACAATAAGATATTTTTTATTAATTTCTTTTAAAAAACAATCCAATAATGTTTTTTTAACATCCATTAGCAATTAAAAAAACTAAAGAGTAAATTCATAGCACATTTTAACTCATAGTAGACATATACATTACAAAAATTAAAGACATATACATTACAAAATACTCTTTCATAATTATTACAAATACAAACAAATATGGAAACCAAATTAAACTCAAAACTGTAGATGTTACCATCAGATGAAAAAGATAGCTTGTTAAATTATTAAAACAGCATACAGATATGAAATAATAAAAATAATTTACACAATTTCAAGAATGAAATTCAGCTTAAATTTTACATTTAACTTTTAAACGTGAAAATCAAAAACTTCTTTTAATCCTTCAATGCAATGAATTTATTTTAAAATTTTTAATATAATAGCCTCCAAAGATTGAAAAAAAAAAATGTTTGTATTTCTTAGAATTGAAGACATTAAATCACCCACAATGAAATATTCATTCTGCAGGGAAAAAATTCGGTCAGCTATTTGATGACTATTCAGTTATGTACTACAAATTTCACAACTCTATTAAATTGATTTAAGAATTACTCTCTAACACAGTAGTTCCCAACCAGGGATGCTCTGGCTACCTTGGAGGTGCAAGATAATATTTTAATTTTTTGTTTTGAAGAAATGATTAATAATAATAAGTCTCTAATTCAAAGTGTATAGAAAGAAACTGTGGACCATTTGGAAATATTACCATAAGTCATTTGATGGGTGATTTAAAGGAGGAGAATTGAAAATTTCAGAAACACAAATTATATACACATATTTTTTTAATTTAGATATGTCGGATGAAGAGCTGAAGGATGATCTTTCAGACCTACACACAAATAATGTTCTTGAAATGCAGTTTGGAAGAATACTTTGGAAAAATTAGAAATTACTTAGGTGCACAAGCAGATACATGATTTGCCATTAGTAACAAAGTGCCACAATTTGAAAAACTCTTATCCAATAAACAGGAACAATAAATTTATTAATTTTTTGTTTGAAAGCTTTATGCAAATGTTAATTTTTGTAATTTTTCTTATTCCCATGTTTCATTTTAATTTATTATTAAAATTTGATCACATAACTCTTTTTTTGGGGGGGGGGAATTGCATTAGGGAGTATGAGTATTTATTGAAACACTTTTAGGGATGCAGGGCATTAAAAAGATTCAAAATCCCCACTCTAACATAATCTTAAAAAATTTCCTACAAATTCAGTATCTTATACTTTATTGCCAGAACAGTTTTGTTATGAAAAATGGAGACTATGTAAGCAATAATGTCAATAAATTGTAAATATGGGCTATGTTACAGGATATCTTTCTTTAAATTTAAGCAATATTTTTAAATGCTGAGCATTATAATTATTGAGCCTAATAACTGTCAAAGACCAACATCGGCCAAGTTGTAAATTGCTGAACACTGGTAGTTCAGTCCGATGTTTGAATCTCATGAACAAGCTGCTTGCATGGGCATTTTTGCGGCTTTCCCCCATGTGTAACATGTATACAAACCAGTTTCTCTTAGAAAGTCCTCCATGAAGGCATTCCTCCCCTTAGGCAGATAGCCGTCGAGGCTTTGCCATAATCACATAAAACCACACCAATAACTGTCAAAACTCATACTTTTAAAAATAAAACAATCAATTTCAGTGCACTTAAAGAAAATCTCTCATCTTGATATGAACTTACATCCACGAGCATCTTCAAACATGTTTTCTGCTTGTATGGTTAAAGTATGGAACAATGTCCACAGAGAGCAAGGATATCCTCTGTATCTTGGTTCACTGCCTTTGCAGCCTACCCAATCACGCATTTTCGGTAAGTAAATCTCACTTCCCTGAAAATAAGTGAATAAAGCAAAATTTAATATTAGTATCATAACAAAGCTGAAATATTATACGGGGTGTGGCAGGGAAACTAGCTTATTTTAAAAATGAATAACACAAATAGTATAAGCGATATCAGTTTAATTTTTTCCAAGTTATAGAGAAACACTTAAAGTTTTTTTTTATTACGGTTTAAAAATAGTATCATCAAGGTGGCCTCTGTTCTGGTCAATGCAATGAGATAGTCGAGTTTTGAAGTTTCTTTCCGCGTTTACCAGCATATCAACGGGTATGTTGTCGATAGCAGCTTGAATATTGTTCTTTACTTGAGCCAGGGTCTTTGGATGTTAGAGATTTCAGACAGCCCAACAAAAAGAAATCACACAAAGCTAAATCAAGTGAGCGTGCTGGCGACTGACGATCTCTCTGTAAGGGGATAAGGCATCCAGGGAAATATTCTCCAAAAAACCATGGTCCAATGATGCCTATTCTGGACAATGCATACCAAACAGTCATACATTCTGTATGGAGAGGCTGCTCATGAAATTCTCGGGGATTCGTGCCACTCCATTATCGCATGTTTTGTTTAATGCATGCTGCAACTGGAAAGACGAAAATGAGCCTCATCACTAAAGAACTCAAAAGCATCATGAGGCATATTGTTAAGAAAGGCTTTGCATGCATTTTGTCGTGAAAGAAAATTGCATGGATTAAGTTTTTGCCCCACTGCCAATTTATACGGATGAAAATGCAGTACTTTGAAAAATACGACTCCATGGCAAATACGCGCTCCTCTCTCGTTCACTGCATGATTGGTACTAAACCTACATGATATAAAACGATAGATACTGCTCTTTTCAATGAGCGCCACCCCACACTTCTCGGAATAAATGTCACTAGATGGCGCCCATTTCAAATAAGGAAGTTCCCCTGCCGCACCCTGTATTACACCGCAAAAAACATAGTTAAAGATTAAAAAACACAGAGATGAAATTTAAATACTTTACGATTTATTGATTATAAGAGCAAATAAATTATCAAAAAATGCAAGTTTTAAACATCATATTCTGAGCATCTTACTATCTTGCAGCACTACAGTTGCAAGCACAGGAAATCGAAATTAAATTAATGTGAAAATACTTCAGAAATTCTGAACAAAACACTTCAAAGTAATCAGAGAAAAAGAATACTTTAGAATTTGAAAAATTAAATGCATGTTCACATTCATTCAATTAAGATTATTAACACTGTCAAATAATAACAAGATTCAATACAGCTGCTCTAACATCATATAACTTTCCTTTAATGCTGCTGCTCTGCCTTCTTTACAAATGTCATTTTCATTTTCTTGCTAATTACATTTTATTTTTTCATACAGGCAGATTTGCTTGCTTATATGTTTATATTGTTAAAAAAAATTCAAAAATATCTGTTCAGTATATATGGGAGTAATGTGTCTATTACACACAAATCTGCACACATATCTACCAATTTAGTCTCATTATTTTGCTACAGCTCAAGAAAATTTTTAAATTAAAGAAATCAATAATTTGCAAGTTACAGAATTCACATAAAAGGAAACGAGGCACTAACAATGTAATTCAGCAGCTCAAATCTGCCCAGTACTGTTTTCCTGTGACATTTTTTTTAATCATAAGTATTAATAAAATGCCTACTTTAAAGCTAAATTTTTTCCACAATGCTTTGATGAAAAAGGATGAGACTCATTGTTCTATAACACCTTGACGTTTATCCTAAAACTTAAGAATCCCTCGATATTTTTTATGCATGACAGAAAGTCAACTATAGGTAACCAATACAGTATACAAAACATTTATTTTCTTTAATACTAGTGACACTTTATTGCATGTAATATCAATTAAACTTTATTATACTTATGTATGTTACACAACTGCATCAGCATTACCTACAGGAAGTTCTTGGAAAATATTACTTGCAGATGTCAGGTTATAATTATATTGAAATCTTTTACACATAAGTAGCTCAATGTAATTGGGAAAAACAAAGCAAAATAACATGAAACTGGCAACTTTTAAAAGGTACAAGAAATTATGAAATCTATTGCAGTAATTCCCAAAGTGTAGGCCACAAGAGACTTTTCAGGGGATAGTGAAAGAACCAAAGTAGTCTTTCAATGACTTTAAATACTATTTACCTGTAATTATGAATTAATTTATAATTATTAATTAATTGTTGATAGAAATGTATGCCTCATTTTATTTCATTGTTACTCTGACTCTGGAAATCTCTTTTTTCTTTAATACTTGCGACAATTTATTACATGTAATATCAATTGAACTTTATTATACTTATGTATGTTACATAACTACATTAGCGTTACCTTCAGTTAAGTTCTCTCTCTGCTTAAATACTCGCAGATGTCAAGTTATCATTATATTGAAATCTCCTACACATAAATAGCTCAATTAGAAGTAATACCCTCAGTAACGTAATTAGGAAAAACGAAGCAAAATACCATGAAACTGGCTACTTTTAAAAGGTGCAAGAAATTATGAAATCTATTGTAGTAATTCCCAAAGTAAGGGCCACAAGAGAGTTTTCAGGAGATAGTGAAAGAACCAAAGTATTCTTTCAATGAGTATATATACTATTTACCTGTAATTACAAATTAATTTATAATTATCAATTAAGTGTTGATAGAAATATATGTTTCATTTTATTTCATTGTTACTCAGTCACTTTTTCTGGAAATCTCCCCCCCTTTTTTTAGAATATATATGGGATGTGATAAGTCATAATTATATGTATGTGGGTTGTAAAGCTAAAATGTTTAAGGAACACTGATCAAATAAATTTCCTTTGGTTGTGAAACAGGAATTTTTTTATTCTGCCCTACTGCAATTATCAAATATAAAAAAGAGCAGTACTTTTTTTAAAAAAAGAAAATAATTACAATAGCAGATACGATAAAAAAAGGAGAAATAGATGTGGAGATTCTCATGTAAACTAATTACAGTACTTACTTTATGTAACTTAATTACAATATGCATTTAAATATAAGACAAGAGACTCCAATTTTTTTGTATTTTCTGTACACAGAGAAAGTTTGAGCAATGTATTTGCATATTGGCAGCTGGCTGAGTGATGACTATAAATTATCATTCAAGAACACAAATAACTCTTGTTCCAGAGGCATAGTTAAGGTTTTCAGCGCTCGGGGACACCTAAAGATTTTGTACCCCATTCTGTGTTCCAAGAATGGAAAGTATTTCATTCTGAAATGTGTATCATCAATTTGGCGCTCCCTGAATGCTGCACCCAAGGATTGGATATTCCTCCTTTCCCCACCCTAGCTATGCTGCTGTATTGTTCCTTAGGTTAGAAATTCCTTGTCATTTAGTAACTGCTTCTTCTTATACGAACAGAACAATCAGAATAGAAAAAGTAAATTAATTAAAATTTCATTATGAAATCAGGATACTTAAATATTGCAAGAAGCTATGTTTTAGAACTTGCATTTACAAATATACTTAACATTTTTGCTGTAGAGTTCCCGATTCTAATGCTTTTCTAATGAATAATAAAAATTTTATTCTTGTTTTTGGAAGATTTAATATTAATATATTCAAAATGCATTTATGTGACACTACTTATAATTGCCTTGATCCACTAGTGGTTGTAGATTTACTGGCACATAACCTAAAGGATTATATGCACCAAACGCATGTTAAACATGTTAGAACAACAACTTAATAGTTTAAAAACAAGTTTAAAAAAATGCAACTTAAAAAAAAAAAAAAAAGTTAATGAGTAAAATAATAAATATTGAGATGAACTACTACATAAAAATCATTTTGATGAACTACATGGATAAAAATCAAAGACACGAGACAAATTAAAATACACAGTTCACACACTCACAACTACACAATTGCAAAATTAAATGATAAAGTTTCATTTCTTACATGTACTGGGGAAAAAAAAAAAAAAAAAAATTACTATTAACTGCTTTACTGATTAAACAATCAGTAAGTCACACTCATTAAAATGCTTCAAATGCAGTCTGTTAAAATACCAGACAGAACACTGTCACAATTAGGACACACTGGCTCACTCTCTGCTTTAATTATGAGCAATTCGGAAGTGGCTGATTCTTAAATGAGCTTTGATCCATTGAGTGATTTTGGAAATTAATGCCATTGCTGCTATTTGAACTGTTCATTTGGAAGGTCTTAACTGAAAATGCAGCATTACTCTCATTGATTCATACAAATGATTTAGAGTTACATGCATAATAGTGTATTTTTATACATGAAGGAAAACTATGTATCATCAAATGTCCAAAGTTCACAAACATTCAAATTTCAAAAGGAAATATAATAATAATTTTTTTTTTAAATTTTTAATTACAGTTTTTTTCATTTTTTGCACACAATCCTTCAACTTACAACCTTTTCCAGACAAGCACACATGCATTTCCTATGATTGTCTCTTCCAGCCAAGTGTCCCACCCGTGCACTGCTTACAGAACAGGCTAATACTTATGTGCATTTTAAGCCAAATAATTTTTTAAAAACTACTAGCTGGTGTCTTGTGTTCATTACTTTTCAGCTGAACATAGTTTTAGAATTCTAATGTTCAGTCTGATTATGATGTCAGCTATTGCGAGGAAGAAGGGAAAGCTTAATATAAACAAACAGAGCTTGTCTTCCTAACCCACATATAAACATTTGTGTTTCTGATTATCCTTCCAAATCTTTTTTTTTTTTTTTTTTTTTTTAGCTACTATGTAGGGCCTTTAAGGGTTACTGTGAGAGGTTCTGTTACACTTCGAGTTGCTTTTGGATATATTTCCTGTACTTCCCTTTTTATTTCAGAAAGCCTAGTTTCCAGTTTACTGTGGAGAGAAAACATAACAGAGGAAGCATATATTCGCATGGTAAATGAGTGAATTAGTGACATGGATAAGTTTGATGATGCATTTTCTAAAGACTTAGAAAGTGATATTTCTAGTGATTCTGATACGGACATTTCATCAACTGAGTGCTTGCCTTCCACTTCTCATAAACGATTTTGTTAGTTCTACTTGTAAATGGTATTTATTATATTTTTTATTAATTTTAAATTTATTAATGTAACTTGTCAATTAAACTTTGGAATAATTTGAACAGCCCTTCCAAAAATTATTTTTCGAAGTAATAATTTTTTTAATGCATTTTCATCTTAAGTTAAAGGGAAAAGATTATTGAATTTAATTTTAATGTACATGACAGCTCAAGCAATAATATAAAATGGTACCAAAATTTATTATAGATTATTGCTTCTAATGTTGAATACATTAGAACTTAAATTACTTTTTTTTAAAATAATGTTAGGCTCAGTGACCCAAAACCTCCATCCTGTGTGATCCGCTCAACTCCCCTCCATCTTAGAGGAATGTCTTAAACAAAGACATGCCATCTCAAAAGGGTTAGTGATTTCAAAATGAACAGCATGTCAAATACTATCAAAGTGGACTTCCTAAATAGCCTCTTATGATTCAAAATAATAATTTAAAAAACTATTCAACAGTGAATTTCTGGGATACATTTTTGAGGATAATAAAAATATTAAATATGCCACTTAAATATATAACTTGGAGATATTTGGAACTTTTACATTATTTTCTTTACTCAAAAACAAAAATTCAGTTTATTACGATTTTCTAGCTTTCTACATTAGTACAAAAAATATTGAACAGAACCTTTAAATTTTCCATGGCATGCACAAATTCTTCACCAGTAATATTATCTGTCTTTGCTGATACCCATTTGTGTAACTCGGACAGGAAGCCAATCAGATGAGGAGAACCAGGGAAATGCTAGGAAACATACAAAGAATACAGTTTCGTATAATACAAGCAAGTTGTTTAATCACTTTTTTAATTAAAAAAATTAGATCCACATACATATAATTTTTCAGATAAATAACTAATTACAGCAACAAAAATTAAAATTCTATCTGCTTTTAATTTCTATCACTGAAGGCTAACTAAAAAGAAACTTTTTGTAGTTACGATATAAATGGAAAATTATGAACATTTCTAAACAGATAGCCTATTCTACCATATAAATGGCCATGTATTTGATAAAAATGCTTAGAATACAGAAATTAAAAATTTTGATTAAATTTTACTTAAAACTGGTGTGTTATACAGAAAATAAATATTGTATTTATATAAATAAAGTGAAATGTTCAGAAAAAAGTTACAAGTTGTAGACACATTAGGTATTTTTGGAAGCAGGCAAGATGAAGAAAAATGAGCAATCGCCGGACCTCTGGAATACCGGCCCCAGCATGCAGAACCACTACACCACGAAGCACGCTAGGCGGGAGAAATACCTTATATACTCCCCCTTTAAAAGGCGACTGGGTTTTTTTGTTTAGGGGACCCAATTGCCAAATCCTGGGTGAGGAGAAGCATCATCCAAACCCTTTTTAGTTTGGGCGCCACTGTAGAGACATTAGGATTTTTTGGAAGCAAGAGAGATAAAAAATGAGCATTTGCCTTCGCTGAGAATTGAACCACGGTCCTCTGAAATACCGGCCCAGCATGCAGAACCACTACACAATGAAGGCGGGAGAAAAACCTTATAAAGTACAAGAAAGAAAACTACTGAACATAAAACCACTACAGTCAAAAGTCATTAATCCGGATTCGTCGGGACTTAGGCGATTCCAGATTATCGATCATCAGTTTAAATCTGGTAAGATGGCATGCAGAAATTACAAAATTAAAAATATGAAACCGTAATTTATGAAATAAAGAACAATTATGATCTAAAGGGTATCAAAATTTACAAAAAGAAAAAGCTTAATATTTATTTGTTTACTTTATTAAACATTTCCTTCAATGTAAGTTGCTTCGTTTCATGTGATAATACTTTTTCTTTAATTCTATTAAACAGACATAATTTCTTGTTTAGTTACAAAGTTCCGCTGTTCAAGTCCTATAATTGCTGTGTTGGGAATACCGACTAATTTGTCAATCGAAATGTTTTCATTTTCCATAACCTCTGGGTCACTTTCTTCACTATCGGAAGCGAATTATAATGACGAGGAACTTGATTTAAATCATATCAAAGACAGAGTACATCGAGATGAAATACTACACTTAGTAAGGAATTATAAGCCAAATAAAATAAAAACATCTGCCCTGAAGATAAGGATAGTGCTGACAGATCAACTTCCAATCCGCGGTGTGAAATTGATAAACAGATTTCGGATTTCAAAACATACTTTCGCTTTGTAGATACAAATTACATATTAGTAAATATATATCGGAAATTCTATTTGACATAATCGAAAGTTCAAGCTTACTTTTATGAAATTGCTCTAACAGTCTGCAAAAAATAATAAGCCGGATCCAATTTGAAGATTAAGGAACAACGCAATCTGCAACATTAACTGAATTAGATAATTTTAGCTTAGCGTATAACTCCGTTACACATTAAACGCACATGCGCACAAACATATTTGCAGCTGTAAAGGTCTTACGTGCTCTCGTAAATGCCTGTGCGCATGCGTCGAGTTGACGCATGCACAGAAAGTTTGTAGCTTTGAGGTCCGGATTATAGATCATTCCAGATTATGGGTGTCCGAATTAACAACTTTTGACTGTATTACATATGCTATATCTTCGTGGAACAACACATTGATAAAAACCTTTCTCAGAACCCCTATTTTAACAAAATCTACGTAGCTAGGTTTACCCTCTTCACTTGGTAAACACACTACTTAGCTTGGTAAAAAATAATTTATTATTATTATTATTATTATTATTTTTTCTTTTTTTTCTGTGTTGTTTTGCTCATTTTACTCTTTTACTTGGTCTTTTTGACATTTTAAACTTGTTTCTTATTATAGAAGATAATAGAAAGATAGTGCCCCTTAAGTTTATCACTTTGAAATCAACACTGGCGATTCTGAAAATGTCCAAAGATGTATATTTATCAGCCCAATGGTTGTTAGCCCAAAAGGGCAAAACTGCATTTTGTGTTGAATCACTTTAAATGTTCAAATCACTTTTCAAATTGTTGTCACCAAATATTGCCTGCATTATATTTAAAAAACTAAACAATGAAGAATCTCCATGAATATACGTATGCTTCTTGCACTGTGAAAAATCAATGGTACTAGATTCATCACATTTTGAATAACATAGTCCTCCACTCAAACATGGGTGCCTGAAAGCCTAAATTTGGAATCTTGAATTTGTTTTAGTGTTTATTTCATATATTAACGAATTTTTGATTAAAAAACTCAATAACTTCAAGGAGAGCAGTGGCAATATTGTAGTCTATCGCAAATTCTAAAGATACGCTGTTCTTAAATATTTTTAGTACAATTTTAGCCTAAATGCTCTTAAAAATGTGTATGTGTTTATAAATTCAAAAAACAACAATTTGGGCATAATTTTTTTTTATTTATTTAATTATGGCAAAGAACTGGAGGGCTATCTGCCTAAGGAGAGGGCCTTTGAATAAGCCATACAAAAAAATTAGTGAGAGTTATTAAGGCTGTTCAAGAATCATGTACCTATTATGAAAATGAGAATTAAAAGAGAATTATATAATTAATTTTAATACTGTAATGCTTTAGCATCCGTGTTCTATACTACTTTATGCATTATTTACTTTAAGAATAGAATAATGCCCATTTAACAGATAAAAACTTTGGTTACAGCAATCAGTTACACTAGTAATGGCTAAATTCTGCTTGTATGAAGACAAATTTAAAATGTACACTGGATCTATATAAGTCTGCTTATCAGACATTACATATGTGTATACAGTCAAAAGTCTTTAATCTGGACTCGTCGGGATTTCGGCGATTCCGGATTATCAGTTTTTCCAGATTATAGATCATCAATTTAAATCTGGTAAGATGGCATGCAGAAATTATAAAATTAAAAATATGAAACTGTAATTTATGAAATAAAGAGCAATTATAATCTAAAGGGTATCAAAATTTACAAAAAAAAAAAAAAAAAAAAAAAAAAAAAAGCTTAATATTTATTTGTTTACTTTATTAAACATTTCTTTCAACGCACGCATGCATAAAGCATACATTACGCATAGTCGAAATTAGAAAATTGCAACCACAAAACTATTTGATGTGTATTCGTGATATTTATAATGACGAGGAATTTGATTTAAATCATATCAAAGACAGAGTACATCGAGATGAAATACTACATTTAGTAAGCAATTATAAGCCGAATAAAATAAAAACATCTGCCCTGGAGATAAGGATAGTGCTGACAAATCAACTTCCAGTTCATTGCACGCTGTGATGTCCCCCCCCTCAGAGCAGCGTGAAATTGATAAACAGATTTTGGAATGGTCAGAAAAATAAAGGATATGCCTTTATCCATTTTTTGCAGCAATTCCACTTTTTGTTTGATGGACATCAAAACATGCTTTTGCTTTGTAGATAGATCCTTTGGCAGCTCCAGAATCGGAAATTCTATTTGACATAATCGAAAGTTCAAGCTTACTTTTATAAAATTGCTCCAACACTCTGCAAAAAATAATAAGCCGGATCCAATTCGAAGATTGGAACAACGCAATCTGCAACATTAACTGAAATAGATAATTAGATAATTTTATAGCTTAGCTTATACTGTACATTATGCATTAAACGCGCATGCGTAATCATATTATGCACATGTGCACACGCTTATGCGCATGCGTAAAGGTATTACGCACATGCGTAAAATGCTTATGCGCATGCGTGAATGCATTATGCACTGACGCATGCGCAGAAAGTTTGTAGCTTTGAGGTCCGGATTATAGATAATTCCGAATCATGGGTGTCCGGATTAATGACTTTTGACTGTATCTAGTACTTTCTGATATCAGCACTCCTAAGTGTCCGGCTCACTGGCAATCTTGTGAATTGGGAACACCCTTCCTTGGCTAACTTCTCGGCTTATAAATACTGTTCTGTCTGGAAATAATAATTAAAAAATAACTTCTATGACAAAAATAAAAGATCCATATATTTATATCCTCATAGTCATTCATAAGTTATGTTTATACTATGTAAATCATATGTATGATATTATTGTGTATTGTTCCAAAAACAAAAAGTATGTGCTTACATTTTTCATTTACTACATAAAATAATAGCATACAAATTTTATGTGTATTCTCATCATTACATAAGCAATACTTTCTATTTTTATGCAACTCTGTTATTTACAATGCCGCAGATTATGCGATAAACAATTTAACTAAGTAATTCATAATAAAGTCACAGATATATAAACAGAATTAAAAAAATTATTTACCTTAAATTTAATAAAAAAAATTATTATATAACAATGATAATATTTCTACATGGTATGCTACAGATCAGCATGAAATATAAGAAACTTGGTGAACTTTTAGTGACGAAAATTTTGTAAACAAATCTAAAAATACAAAAATGTCATAAAATGCTGCCTACTCTGAAATTTTCACAATTATAATTTTAATCAATATACAAACATTTTTAAAATGACTTTGACAGTTATATTATAAAATTACAGCATACAAATATAGTTCCCCCCCCCCCACACACACACACATTTTTTCGATAAAATAGGCTTTCATTTCTATCACCCATGACCTCAAACTACAGCCATTGCCATATTGGAAATTACCCATGAGACTCAAAAAGCAGAACTTTCAACTGATTGGTTGATCTCTATGCAGAACACAGCTGCAAACAAAACATTTTTGGCAAAGTTGCAAAATGTTCCATGTAGTAGGGACATCACTTTCTTGGTGAGATGGAACATTGATTTCAGTGGCGCTGATTTTTTCAGAACCCTTCCGTTTAAACCAATGATGCCAGAATCTCGTTTCTTGGAAATGTCCCACCTAGCATTAATAGATGTGATAACCCCTTAAGTGTAAAAATAGCTGAAAATTAATCCAGTCTTCTCGAGCAATTCAACTAAGCACAGTGTTTATATAAACAATGAAAAAATACATAAAAAACAAATTTAGGAAAATAGAACTTACATCTTTCAATACTGAAAGGTAAGATTTGAGCACAGAGAATTTCTCCTCAGTTATATACTTGACAACACCTATTTCTTGAGTTAATGAGTAATATATTGCATTTTCAAGGTCAGTCATATGTACAGAATTCACAGTGGATCTGAAATATATAACAAAAATACTAAATAAATAATCTAAATTAAGTTCTTAAACTTTTCCATATGTTACAAATTTATTTAAAATCTAAAAACAATTTGTTTGACTTTTAGTAAGCTTTGATTAATTTTCTGATGACAGAAAGAAAAATACTGCAAATTTTATAAATCAAAATATAAAAAACAAATTAATAATTAGCATATTTTTTAAACAAGTGCACTAAACCATTACTAGTATTTCTGATATAATAAATATAATTTATGTGTTTTTGCTCAACCTGAAACTCAGAAGTATGCATCCCAGTCATTATTACATACAGCTGCTAAAGAAAGGGAAAAAAATGAAAGTTCCAAATGCTTCCTCTATGTGTAGAGATAAGAAATTTCTGTTGATGAACTCAAGCTTCTGACCATCAGGATATACAACCTGATTCATTACAAGTGTAAAAATTTGACTACTACTTCACAAAAGGCGCTGAAATTAATGAAGTTCTGAGAACACAAGAAACAACGGTAAACTTTAAATTTTTATTCCTTACATTTTATGTTACTTTTGCAGATTGCATTGAAGACTAGAGAAGAATCATTAAAACTGACTGACAAGGAGATGAAAAATATCAGAGACAATGGAGTAGCAGTGTACAATTATTTTTTAAATGGATGATGCAATTATATTTGCTCTAACTGGAAGAGAAACATGCCAAAAAAAATTAATTTAGGTCAAAAAGTAGCCTTAGATTTAGGTATATTCTGAATAAAACTTCATCAATCTTAATCAGAACCTGATAAAAATTAAATCTTCAAAAACATATCCATGCATAAAAGCATACATATTTTTACAAAGATCAGTTTTTAACTTGGAGAAGTAAATTCCACTCCAAACTTTTATGCCAGCTTATCACAATGTACACAGGACTTATGTGTGTTATACTCAGAGTACAAACAAAAATTTAATTTGATGCACACAGCATAACTAGTTAAAGTACACAACCAGTAAACAAAAACCAAAAAGATCAGTAAAATAAAACTTAACCTTTATACCACAACACTCTTATGAATGTTTCTATTGTGGTAAATACTAGTCAATCTGCATAAAAATTTCAGCAGCTTTATAATGAGGTACTGTAACACAGTAATTTCCAAAATTTCAATAAAGGATTTGAAATTGCATACAGTCATAACTTTAATAATACTATTTAAAAGTACCTAACGTTTCTGTTCTACTTTCTAAAACAAGAAAAGGACAGAACAGTATATTAAAAATTACATACTCTTTTTTTCCAATGATATTTGCCAATTATATTGACTCAGATAAACTAAACTTTTTGACATGGTCATAAAATTAACAAATAGACAGCATTTAACACACACACATATATAGATATGCAAATAAAATACAATTACAGAGACAACTGTAAAAAGAAGCAACATATAAGGGGCAGTCAAAAAGTTCTCGGAATTTCATTGTAACTCTTTATTATCACAATATAGGTAGATATTTACTGCCTTTAAAGTAGGCTCCTTCAAAACACACACATTTGCTCTACTGCTCCTGCAATTGCTCGAAGCAACAATGAAAGTTCTGCTGTGGTAACTTCCAAAGTTCAGCTGTTGCATTAGTTTTGACGTCTTCTACAGTATCAAAATGCTTATTTTTGAGGGCCATTTCGATCTTAAAGAAGAACCAGAAAATTAGTGGTACTGAATCCAGTGAATTAGGAGGCTGGTGGAGGACTGGAATATTCTTTTCTGTGAGCCATGTCTGAACAGCAATGAATGTAACGAAAGGAGCATTGTCATGACGCAGTGACCACTCTTTTTGCCATTTGGCAGGATGTTTTCTTCAGATTACCTCCCTCAGTCATTTCAAAACCTGAACGTAAAAAGGGCCATTAATAATTTGTCCAGCTGGTACAAATCCATGGTATACGATACCTTTATTGTCGAAAAATGCAGTGAACATCACTTTTGTTTTAGATTTGGCATAACATGATTTCTTTGGTCGAGAAGAGGATGTTGTGTGCCATTCTGATGACTGCATCTTAGTCTCGGGTCATAAGTGTACATCCAGGTCTCATCACCAGCAACAATTGTCTCAAAAAACATTGAGTCCTCTCTGCTTTTTTCATTGCACAGTTTCCATCTGAACCAGGTTCAACAGCCACAAGACAAACTTTGCACTGACATGTTTCATCTTCAAACCATCTTACAGAATTGCGCGAATGAATCTGTGGGAAATAGCCACTTCTTGTGCCAACTTGTTGATGGTCATTCTTCAGTCTAATCTGATTAACTGCCTCATTTCCTCAACCTTCCTTCATTTCTTCACTTCAACCTTCTTCCTTTGTGAGCTTTTTGATTGCCTGTTGTAAGTTATTTTAAAGTACATGATCCTGAAACAAATGCTTACTTACTCCACTTTTATAGCATATTAAGATAGCAGGCAGATAACATATTAAGTTTTTTTATGAGTTTTACTAAAAATATAAAACACAACATCTACTTACACTTGAGCATGGGAATTCTTTTTAGGGTTGAACACCTGAAGGCCAGGTTTATTTCTTGCACGTCCCACAATACTTTCAAAGATTTGATCTCGAATATAAGTTGAATTAAAATCATCAGAAAATCTATAACAACATAAATCATACTAAAATTCATTCCTTCTTACAACACTGCACAATAGTGCAAAAAGTATACCAAAAAATACTTGGATTCCCCCCCCCCCAGATTTACTATCTTGCACCTCGATTTTAAGAAGTTAGATATTTAAAAAAAAATTATCAATGTTATAAAACGATAAAAAAGAGATAAATACTATAATATTAGTTCAAATATAGACTAGATATTATTAGTACTAAATAAAACTTGAACAAAGTGCAGCTTTTCTATGATCAAGCAACTAACATAATTATTACTTAAAAAGTACAATTTTCTACTAAAACATAGCAACAATTAAGTTTATTTTAACACTGAAAATTCAATTTTCATGTTAAAACAAAACAGATGTAGAATTTTCAAAACATTTTACTTTTCTTTGGAGCAAGTTACTGATAATGTAATAAATTTTGAAGGGGGGGATCTCTTCCCTCATTTGTTTTTAGACTGTAAAAACATTATAAATAACTTGCTCCAAAGATGGAAGATAATGTTTAGATATCAATAACTTGCAGACAATGTTTGTTTAATCAATTATAAATACACTGCCCTCTAAAAGTTAAGGAACAGCATGTTTTACAAAGCTCACCATTACAAAAACATCAGTAACATTTAAATTCACAATTTATATGCATGATAGCAATGAAGTTTGTGAAAATATATGCAAAAACAATAGCTACACACTTTTATTTTATAGAAATGAACACTTATATAGGAGTTGGAGAAAAAATGCAAAAATTATAAGTTTTGTTCAGGAGTGATGATCTTCAATTGTTATGAGCAATTTCGTTGACAATATCCAGGAGAGTCTATCAATGTCCAGGAGAAGTCGGCTGCCCAATTCGTTGAGGTGGCAGGCAATCGAATGGATGGAAAGGGGGATGTCACAAGCTGATGCTACTAAATATCTCAATGCCTGTCGTAGTGTGGTCCACTGACTATGGAATCAGTTTTGGTCTGAGGATTCTTTGTCTAGAAGACATGCACTAGGAAGACCAAACGTTACAACACCTGTGGGAGACCGTTATATTTAACTCTTTTGGTCAGAAGGAGAAGCAACATTACTGTGCCTCGGCTCATAGTAGATGATTTAGTGGCAACAGGAACACAAATCTCAGCTACTACAGTGTGCAGAAGCCTGCACAATACAGGTCTGTACCAGTTGTTTGTGTCCCCTTGACACAAGGACACAGAGGTGCCTGTTTACGAGGGTTGGAACTTTAATAGTGGCAACTATTTATTTACAAGGAATACAAAAGTGATTCATGTCACCATGTTTTACAGTCCTTCAATATAGTCGCCAGCATTGTGTACAACCCGTTTCCAACGATGTGGAAGTCGCAGAATACCTGTAGCAGCGCCTGTTTTGTTGATAGTTTGATGGACCAGTCTACTGCCGCAAGAATCTCAGGAACAGTTTGGAAGCGAGTGCCATGAAGTGGTTCCTTCATCTTAGGAATTAAGTCATAGTCACAAGGGCTTAGATCTGGGGAGTATGGTGGATGGTAAAAAACTTCCCAGCCCCATCGCTTGAACAAATCAGTCACAGCTTGCGCTGCATGCGGCCGAGCATTGTCATGCAAAATGAGAGGAGCGTTCTTCAGAAAGTGTTGCAGTTTTTTTTCTCAAAGCTGGTTGGAGATTGTGCTCCAAAAATGAGCAGTAATACTGCGCAGTGAGGGTCTGCTGTGGGAGAATGTTATGCGTTAGGATGACACCATCACAGTCGTACACAAGAATCACCATAACTTTCACATTGCTGGGGTTCTGACGAAATTTCGAACGTCGTGGTGACCCGTGATGAGGCCATTCGTTTGATTGGCGTTTCAGTTCTGGCTGGTACAATCGGGCCTCTTTCATCCGTAAGAAATGATACGGTGTAAAAAAAAGCATCTCCTTCGCGCTCATAGCGCTCCAGGTGGGTTCGGGCAGCATCATATTGTAGCCATTTCTGCATTTCCGTCAATTTTCTCATGGACAGGCATTTCTTCAGAATGTGCAGCACAGTCGTATGCGCTAATCCTGTTTGTCCGGCCAGCTGACGAATCGTTTGGCGGCGATCACTGTCCATCAGTGCGGCATCAGCTTGCACGTCTGCATCGCTGACACTTGGACGACCTGGCCGCAGCATGTCTGCCACGTTTTAGCATCCTTCATTGAATGCTTTCACCCATCTTGCTACTGCTCTGTAAGGCAATGCAGTTTACCCGCAAGCCCCTTGAAGCCCTTGATGACACTGTCGTGCTGTACAACCTCTGGCACATTCAATTTTTATCCAACATCGTTGTTCTTGTTTTGAAAACATCCTGACTACACTTACTTTAGACCGCGAGCTAATACAAGGATCCGTTCTTCGCGTCACTCCGCATGTGCGTGACGTAGGCAGGACGAGTCTTTTTGCTGAGAGGTAAGGTAGGTATGTAGTTCACATGTGGTATACGCGATATTCTTTGGTTTTGTTGCGTAGCGTTTTTTTTAGCTGTGTTGCCACTATTAAAGTTCCAACCCTCATGCTGGGCAAGAGAACACATCTCCTGGTATAGCCAAGAATGAGCATCTGTTCTCTTCACAGACGAGTCCAGATTCATATTGGACAGTGATTCAGTTCTTCAGCTGATCTGAAGGGAATAATGCACCAATCCCACATAGTGGAAAGATACAGTCACAGGGGTGGTAGAATAATGGTTTTGACTGGAATCTCTCTCTCAGTGGTTACACTGACCTACATGTGTTCCATGGAGGAACTTTGACCGCTGTGAGGTATCGAAATGAGATCCTTGATCTGCTCACACACCACTATTATTGGTCCTGGATTTCTTCTGATGGATGACAATGAGCAACCACACAGAGTTCGGGTTGTTGAATAATATCTTGAAAGTCATGGTATGGAGTAGATGGAATGCCCAGCTCAATCTCCACACCTGCATCCAATACAGCATCTTCAAGACTACTTTGGGAGACAAATTGCAACTTTAAGTCCTCCTCGAAGGTCCTTAGAGTGGTTTAAAGAAGGATTACTTTGTGTTTGGTCTTTTCTTCCCATTTCACTGACAAACAACTTAATTGACAGCATTTAATGCTGCCACCAATATATTGCAGCTAGAGGTAGATACATTCCTTATTAAAACCCTTTTTTGTAATGTTACCACCACATTTTCTGGGTGACTTCTCTGCCAAGAGTGCAATATTTTGTTGTAATTCATGTTTGTGTTGAACTTTAGTAACATTCTATGTCGCATTGTTAAAGAACTGTTTAATGAACATATCCTCTAAATTTCTTGTTTCTATGTTGCTTCATTCTCAAATTAGACACAAAAAACATGCTGTTGCTTAACTTTTGCAGAGCAGTGTATAAAGGCTATCCGCCTAATGGAATGAATGCCTACAGGAGGACTTCACAGGAAAAACTGGCCTGTGTTCATGTTACATATATGATAAAGGTTACTGATAAGCAAATCCTTTCTCAAAATGAAAGATAAATTTTTATTACTATATTGTTATCAAATCATATCTACAAACACGATAAAAAGTAGAACTATTGCATATATAACATGACAGCATTTATACAAAGAAACTTAAGGAATATTAACATTTTAAGAAATATTTAGAAAATTAATTTATAACTAGAAACAGCATGCCCTGAAATAAATTGTTTTTAAGATATTGAAACAGAGATTACAGGGGTTCAAAACTGGCAGGCCGCAGGCCACACATAATCTGCAAAAAAAGTTCAATTATATATTTGCTGCAAATATGGTGTTCCAAAGATTTTAAAACTTTAGTTATTTAAAGTTTGAGTTCATATTACTTTCACTGCCATTAAAAACAAATGTGAACAACACAACAGAAAATCTACAAAGGTAGTTAATTAATTTATAGTGCAAGATAAATCTTATTCAAAGATTTCTTTGAACTACAAAGTTCAACCAACTTGGCTTTGAATTACAGTTTTACCAACAAATATCTCCAGCAAGTACCAAACTTTAGATTTCAGATGGAAAATAGAAATTTGCACTTTTTTATTGATTATGTCACATTTCCATAAATATTTAATAAGCAAAATTTTAAATTTTGTTAATTATTTTCTCATTCATTTTGAAGGGGGGGTAATCTCTTCCCTCATTTGTTTTTACACTGTGCATTCAATCTGCATGCAATTTGAGTTTGACAACACTGACATTGCCAATACCATGCTGCATCATCTGATTACTTAATATAAATGTGATTTTTGAAAATAAACTGAAAGTATAACTTAGGCACATATATAAGTTTACTATCATAATGCATATAAGTGCTAGCTATCCTAATAGAAATGCTGTCATAAATCATACAAAAAAGCCAAAAAAACTGAATTCTTTTACATAACACATGAGGTAAGCCATGAAGTCAACTGAATATAGCATGAATTTCAAGCAGCCTTATCCATGTGGCCCCTAATGATCTAAATGTTGGCTGCCTGCCTTTATTATGTAAATTAAAAAATACTATATACTTAATTTCATGTAAGTAAATTCTATCTCTTATAAATAGAACCAAAAAATCTTTAAATAAATAGGACAATATAATTTTTCTAACCAGTTTTTTTTTTTTTTTTTTACTTATTTTTATAACAAATAATACAAAAGTTTCAAGCTTCAAATACTTCAAATAAAACATTTTTTAAAGAATTATTACCGGTGTACTAATTCTTCTTTTCCATCTCTGTACAACTTTAAGACAACTGGTAATGATGAATTTTCAATTTTTGTATCTAAATCCTTCAAGAGAGCAGTATTTGTTGTCAATACTCTTCGAACTGACACACTTCTTTGAAATGACAAATCTAAAATCACCTATATCATAAAAAATAAAAATTCATTCTCATACAGATATATCATTATAGAGCATTTCTGCATACAATATTTGCATTCTTAAATATATTGAACATGAAATTTACTAGATAAATATAGATAACTGTGATGGGAAATTGATACGAATCTTTTTATACACACAGTAGAATGCTTCCTAACTTTATGCATATAATGAATTTCTCTATGGACTATATACCAGATATACTGACTGAATAGTGAAATATTTGAGTCAAATTAATGCACAATAGTAGGGTCATATGTTAACTAAGTGGCTGCAACTCCACTTTTCAGAATACATCAATGGTTTGCTACCATTCACTAATGATAATCCCAGCTTTAAATGAGAAAATGATTATATACAGGCCATAAATAACTGAGTGTAGATTGCCAAGGTTCACACATATTGCAAAATCGGCAATGTTATATAAATTAAAATCAAGTGCAATGTTGGACCCTTCATACCCAGGGATAAAACTTAAGAAACAAACTGCCTTTTTGGCTGCAGCAGCTAACACCCACATATATGCTATTATTGACTGCCTATTATCCTGCACCACGTCTTGTGATGTCAGTTTCATAAAAAATTACAGACTAGGGATACACTGACATGAATCTCAATTTCAGTTACACCAGACAGATGATAAAGGCATGGAATCTTTCTATTAAGTTGGCTCAGTTCAAGAAAGCTAAGTGTCTGTGCTTGAAAGGAAACTTTCTGTAGGAATGTGTGCAATTTATTAGTTTATCTAGACAGAACTGCAAATGTTGCCAGCTACAATAATTCTGGCTGTGTGTCAATCTGTGTCAACCATCTGCGTCAATTTATGATCACTGTGCAACCGACACTCCATGCTGCAACCATTCACACAGTTTGATAAATATTCATCAAGTTTTTCAGATACTATAGTGCAAGGTTCCTGAATTTAAATCCAAGATAAGCTATGCAGTTGTGATGAATGGTACAGCAAATAATAATTCCAGCAATCCTCCAGTATTTGTTGGAATTGGTATCACTGCTTGTTATAGTTGTTCTCAGAAATTTCGGATAAGGCAACTGGGCTGGTGCTAGGTATTTTGCTGTACAATGCAAGCGCTGTGGCTTCTTAATTCTGTTATCCAGTTGCCTATCCAAATTTCAAAAATTCTGCGCCTGGTGGGGTTATACTTATTGAATCGGCTCTGGCACCAGCCCTGGATGAACCTATTAGCTATTTGGCAATAATGCTTTACGTTTTGTATAGTAAGTATAATAGTTTTAAAATATGATGCATTCTAGAGGAGAAAAATGCTACAGCAGTAATTTATTCAAAAATTAAGAACATAACACCTGAGAGAAACTTTTTAATGAGTTTTGAATAACTCTTTAATGAAAAAAAAAAAAAAAAAAAAGATATACTGTAAGGAAAAATAGCAAAAGTATGATTGAATAATTACTTATTATTGATTGTGGCTAAAAACATGTCACCAGTTCTATTTAGAACATTATTATATTGTTATTTCTATGGATGACTTGTCAAACATTTCATAAACAATAGTAAATACAGTAAAACGTCCTTAAGACTAAAAGTCATCAATCTACTATTTTAAGAAGTAATACGACATTTTTTTTCATTACAGAGATAATAATAATAATTTGAAAAATTCTACAAAAAAGACTTTAAAAATTATACAAATTTTTTTTTTTTTTTTTTTTCCTGGGAATGAAATGAGGAAAGAATTAATTATCACTATGCTCTCATAAAACTGAGATAACCAAGTTGTTCAAGAGCAATTAAATCACATTTACTTTCATATTTGTATTAGAATGAAAACATATGTTTACAGATATGGTAGTGGCCCACCAGCGGCCGAGCGGTAAAAGTCGCTGAACACTGGTAGTTCGGTCCGAGGTTCGAATTCCGCGAACGGACTGGCTGCATGGGAGTTTTTGTGGTTTTCCCCATGTGTAACATGCATACGAGCCAGTTTCCCTTAGAAAGTCCTCCACGAAGGCATCCCTCCCCTTAGGCAGATAGCCCTAGTGTGCTTTGCCATAATTAAATACACCAACACCAGATATGGTAGTATACCTTCTTTTCAAACAATGCATTTAAAATGTTTTTAAAAATCACAAATAATTTTATAATTTTCTATAAGCAATTAGAATAATATCAGATTTTTTTACAAAAATACACAATTTAAAAAAATCAGCAATATCAGATTTAAACCTAAACTTAACAGTATTGACAGTTATTAACTTAGCTTCAAATATTTTCTCTCAAAATAATAACCCCTACCACGTTTTAAAAAATAAATTCTACTAATCAATCCAAATTTCTTACAGTTCTATACAGTTGGCATCACTTAATGTGATCATATTTGCCCATGGCTATTTGATAACATTAATCAAATGATAGCACTAAATGACGAGAAAAAATGTTCTTCAAAATAGCAATGGAATTTAATTTAATATAAAAATAACAAGAAACATATAAATATGTAATTTCATGGCATTTTAACTTAAAAAATGCAAAGGTTTATATATGAACTGTTCATAAATGCAGTTCTAATGCAATTCATTTATAAACTGTTAATAACATTTCTGGAAATAATTTACCAATGCTGTATCCCTAATCTTAGTATTTGAAAGGCATCCTTCATTAGAACAGAATATGCCAATGTAAAATTAAGCAAAAAAATGGTCTTAGTTTGGCAAAGATGATTTCATAGAATTTTTTGTTAAGGAAAAGAAAACTGGCAGAATATTTTCTGTTTCTAAAGAAGAAAGACTTGTATCTCAATGATCTCAAAAGTAACAGAGTCAATCAAAATCTATGTCTAATTAAGGTTGCTTTTATGCCTAGTTTTAAATGGTTGGATGAAATCAAAAACATACTGTTTGGCAAATTAGGCAACACTTCTTCATCAGTAGGTAATTTTGATACTCAATTTTGAATTTATTTGGTGAATTTATCTTTTATTTGGTAACTTTTGTTTAAAAAAAAAATACTCTAGTTTAATGAAATTAACCAAATTGTTGGTACTTTGAAGATATGAACCAAATTACAACAAATAAACAAAATAAACAATATATTTTCCACATTTTTGTATATAAATAGTGAGGGTTTGGCAAATAACAATATCCAAATGGTAACATTAGCTGTGATCACATTAAGCAGTCAGTATCTACTCTATTAAACAGAATGATCATTAAAAATTTAATCATCTGAAATAAATAAAATAACACAACTAGAAAGAATCAGTAATGGAAAAAAAATACTGATCTTTATAAAAATATGTTTTATAAGTATATATTTACCTTTCGTCCAATAAAAGAATCAGGAGACTCAATAAAGAGCAAAACAGATTCCTCATTATCAGCCATAGATTTTGTAATTCTTCTCACAGTACTAACACTAAAAAAGAGAAAGAGGGGGGAAAATATTAAAACATTGTTTGTGCCCAAGCCACTCTGTGTTTTTCGCTAGACTTCAAAATTTACACTGTTAAATTTGTAACGAGCAAGCCGATGTTCATCCTGAATTAGCAATTGAATGATTCAGTTATATTCAACATCTTTATGAAGACCCCCGAGGAAACCAAACATCTTAATTGATTTTATACCAACCCACGAGATAATCATAGAATTTGACAGCACATGATCAGCTAACTAAACACCCCCACACGCAAAAATATAACCAAAACACCCTCCAATAATATATCATCGGATTTCACACGTATTGGCACTTCCCAAAGATCAAAATTACCAACACCATATACCCCCCACGATGGGACTATATAATCGTAACCAGTAAGTCGTTTTAAACGGAATTTTACTGCTAATATATTTTATATTCCTAATATCTCCTCACTATCATAGACCAGTAATACACATGTTAATCAAAATTACTTGCTGTTACGTTATTTATCTTCACAATTATAATAGATCCTAGCATTTCTTTATCACCGTAAGGAATATAACGCTGACGTTAACATGCTCAGGAAACAGTCTAGGTAATTCGTACACCAACTACGGGAATGTATACGCTCCATAATAACATTAGACATAACTCTCATACACCACCCCCACAAACAAAACCGCTACGAAAATTAAGTAAATTCTCCGGCAACGATTCGCACATACGACCCCAGCTCCCCCGACCCACACACACCCAGAAAAAGAACACCGAGCATCTCCGCCCTCTCAAACTGACCCTGCCACCCACCCAAAAAACACCCCAATACAAAGCGAAAAACAAAGAACCTAATGCACCCCCTAAGAACTACCTGCCCCCCCCACCCAAACCTAAGAACGCACCCCCGAAACTAACACGCCAACTCCCTTTTTATCTTTAATTGGATGAAATGGTACGCTTTCACCAACACCACCAAACCACAACACACACCGTCCTTCAACGCCCCACCTACAGAAGCTTATAGCCCTAACCGACCCGCCCCACCCCCAATATACCGAGAACCGTCTAAACATCAGAATTGCATATATAGTATCATCAACAAACTTTTAAAGTTGTCCAATCCTAATAGGACAAAAAAATCTGGAAGTAAACACTATAGAAAATTGTTAAAAGATATTTTCAATTAAGCATGGGCTTTTACTTGTTATTACAACCAGTATGACTGATACGAGGTCCCCCGGAGAAGGTTCAAGTACCTGTCTTACCTCCCATAATTCAACCACACGGGTAGCGTATTGCATCCCCGCACCATAAACCACCAGGACTACGGAACCCCCCCCCAACACCAAAACCTCCTCCCCGAACCCCGTAACCCCATCCCAGCCTCTCCCCGCAACGCCCCGGAAGACGGCCCATCAGCAACACCCTTCAGCCCACCGCCCCCAACACCCCGGAACTAATTTTTTATATTTTCTTCATTATAACATATTTTACAAGTGGCATGTCTTCCGATTTTCTTCTCAAACCTAAATGAAGTAAATCTGTCTACATGTCTGTCTCTGTCTATAATGTAATTCTTTGACTTTCTTAATTTCTATGAGAAATTAAAGGGCTTTGGCAGGAAATAAAAAAATGGCAGGAATTAGGGCTTTGAGTTGTAAAGCAAGATAATTGTCGAAACCATTTCTAACTTCACCATTTAATTTTTGTTACCAGAAAATATCATTGTCATTGGAAAAGTATACTTACATATTATGGCAACCATCTTAGTCAGAGCATATACAATTTTCCTATCCAAAGTTGTGGGCCAACTCGGCAAACATGCTTATAACCACACCTTCCCCAACAGTGGTCGCCATGTTCATAGTGGTTACACTAGCAGTTCTAATGTTGTTTAGGGGCAAATATAAAGAATTAGTTCTCTGCCTTTGACTCAATTTTAAAATATTGTTTGTTTGCAATTGTAGATGTAGTACATTCAACTTCAGCTTACCAAGCAATACAGTAAAGTGCAAAAGAAGGATCTATGCACAATCGGCAAGGCTTAATCCCGGTCATCAATGTGGGTATCCCAGTATAATTGCGTCGATATAGGTCAGACTTACGCGATATTAATGAATTTTCGAGTCGACGGAGTCAGACACAGTAAAGAATGATCCAAACTTTAATAGCCTTGAATTATTCAAAAAATGTTAACTTTTAGACTATTAAACTTAATCTGATAAATATCAATATAACAGTAAATGAATTTTGATTACGAATTTTCAATACACATTTACTATAGCCAAACATATGCTAAAATAGTCTACTCTTTAAAGTGAGGGAAACTGAATAGTAGGTTTTTCACAAAACATTCTAATTTGTAAAAGCAGTCCCCACTTGAAAAAAAAAAAAAAGTCTGAGAAAACAGACGTTTCAACAATATAATCAAATTTTAAAATTGCTAAATTACCATACTTGACAGCATAGAAGGATGCACTTTTGTGCTAGTTGGAGGGGCGCAAAAAGGGACCGGTTCATACGTCAAGCACCAGGTTAACGGTGCAACTTCATGAGGCCGAGTTTTAAGCCCGGATAACGGTACGAGACACTCATAACTTTTTTCGACATCTTCCATAATATTTTTGCTGCGTCGCACGGGAAATATCTTGTTTGCCAGAAGCAGAAAAGCGCGCCCGGAGGTCGGTAGTTCAAACACGACTTACAAGGGTCACAATCACTAGAGAGCCTTTGTCCTTCTTACAGAGACGTGCTTTTTGACGCCAGCCAACCCACGTGGCCGTTCGGGCGATTTCTGTCTACGTGGGGCGTATCGGTGTCTTGAAGACTAATTGTTTAAAAAAATTACCCCTGGAACTAATGACCATGACAGGAAACAAAGAGATTAGCTATACAATTCAGTATAAAGTAGGAGTTGTGGAAATTATGGCCAAAGGTGCATGGAAACAGAGCAGCAGTCAGACATTTGGTCCACCACACCTACCGAAAAATGATTCACAGTACTGGCAACTGCAGCAAGCATCACCTGTAAGACCTGGCTAAAAACAAAATACATAACCTTCCGATTGCCTCACGCTGACTCTTGGCCTCACTTGAAATTCTGCTCAAAATGTGGGGGGGCAAGAGATAAGAGGCAATCTGGTAAGAGTTTTTCACAACCAAAAATGAAATCAATGAGGGCCAAAGGATTTGCAGAAACATGGAATCGAACTTTTCAGTCTGAGGGACTTGGTGCTAGTTCCTGAAAGGCAAGGCTTTCAATAGACGGCCCAATCAACTATTGCACAGAACATGGCCAGCAATTATGAAGAAAAATACGACCTATGCATTTCATAAGTGTTGTGCTATAAATGCATGCAAGAAAACTTCTTTCAGCTCGGTCAGAGAGGAAATAAGGATTATTCCACTCCATTTTATGTAACCAATCCAACAAGACTGTGAGTATTAAAGGTCTCTAAGCAAACACCATAAAAACCACAGGTCTGAAAAAAAAACTTGATATAGACGCGTTCTAACCAATGTTTGTGGCGGAAAATTGCACAAAACTACCGGATCTGCAATTATCCTCGCCAAGTTTTGCGCATATATTTCATCTATAATAAAATCTAAAAAAAACAAAAAAAAAAAAAAAACAAAAAACACTCATCATAAGAAAAACTTTCCAACGGTGTAACTTGTTCAATGTTCAATTTATTCGAAGGCGGATGGACAAGCTGGAATGAAACTGTGGTTACAGCCCATCATGGCCAGGCGACTCCTCGGCTGGACTCTTCAGAAAACCGCTCTTTTGGTTTTGGATAATTTAGGGCCTTGGAACTGGAAACCATAAAGAATAACAAAACGCGGAAAATGAAAAACACCCATATACTGTCATTCCTTGGTGACTGATAGCCCAATTTCCGCAGCCTTTAATTGTATCGGTGAATAAGCCATTCTAAGGAAAAAGTGCGAGAACTGAACAAGTTAGATTAGGAGAGTCCCTCTCACACCTACACTCCCTCAGGTAAATGAAGCGGCCCCTCTATGTCCACAAGTGTCGATATGTAAAAAAGAGCTTGGGGGACCGTATAGGCTGACAGTAATTGTGGAGTCCTTTCAAGAGGTAGCGCGAAAGCCAGTAATGCTCCTTGGACGGAACAAAAGACGACCATTATTCAGACGGTGATATTGGCGATGACGGCAACATACAGTGCTGACGATATTCTCGTTTTCGAATGATGAGATATGAAAGGATTTGATATGGTTTTGCAAAAAGTTTAAAGTCTAATTCATGATAGCACTCGGTTTCCTAGAATCTGTGTTTTTTTGTTGTTTCTCTTCATCGATCTCAAACGGGAAGAGTTTCTGGGCGGGAGTGGTGGGTACGAGGTGGGGATGGCCATGGGCCGGCATTTATAGTCATTGGGAAAGTTACAGAGCATGTTGTCAAAAGACGCGGCCCAGGAGGTCGAGGGGCCGAAAAGAAAAAGATGGTGGGGGACGGGCCAGGCAAGGCGGGGGATGGGGGGGCGGGGATAACTAAACGTGAGAACACTAAAGAACACCACATTGGGATGAAGGGAGTGGCTAAAAGCGTCACAAACATATGAAACATTGGTGGCCCTCGGGCGGGGCCCGCGAAAGAAGGGGGGGAGGCGGACAGGCCCGTCAAAAGACAGAGTCATGGAATGAAGTGAGACAGGAAGAGGTTGTACAAGTGCTGCAGGGGGGGCGACAGGTCCGCACTGCAGATGCAGTGAAAGGGGGGTGTCAAGAGGAGTGTAGGGCTGGGACGGCAGAATAAATGGGAAGAAGAAGAAAGTAGTGTAGAAGTGAAAAACAGAACCTTTGACGCATGAAGTATTTAGGGTAAAAATAGTACATATATTATGCGTGATCAACTGAAACTCATTCACTAATCATAACTGCAGTATAGTGAGATGAGAGGAATGAGTAATTATAGTGGTATATTATGACATGGATTCAATCATGTACAGCATATAAATAATGTGAAATGACTTTTGTCTTTGCAGAAACAACCATTGAAAAATGTTATTATGCATGCACAATCCATTTAAATATGAGCATCATACTATCATACTGCTCCTCTGTTCTGAAGGATATCAACTAACTGAAGAGTTTCACTGGGTAAAGGAAGTGTATAACAATGCAAGTGCTTTGAAAATAATAAACGTTGAGTTCCAGGGTTTTTAACATTCATGACAACACATAGCTATTAAAACTCAATGACTCTTGGATGGTTTTGGATGGGAGTTATATGGTCATCCACCATACAGTTTGGACCTTACTCCTAGCAACTTCCACTTGTTTCTACACATGAACACCTAGCTTCCAACTCAGCGTTTTGAAACACAGCACACTGAGAAACTACGTGCAGGCATTGGTGTATGGTTGAACTCTCAGGCAGCAACATTCTATGACGATGGAATTAACAAGCTCGTTTACCATTATGACAAGTGTCTTAATTTATATAGAGATTATGCAGATAAATAGCTGAATAATGCATCTTTCAAATTTAAGTAATAAAAAATTTTTACTTATTTTAAAAAAATTATAAAATAATATTATAAAAAAATATAAAAAAATTATACACATAGACTACTCAGAAAGTAACTTTATAATTTTTACTTTCTGAATAGTCTATGTGTATTTTGTATTTCTAATTTCACATAACAATATGTCTTCAAATTTAAAATAAATAGTTACAGCAATACTACAGCACAAATTTTCATATTTTAACCATTTTAAACTTTGGATCCATATGAATAATCATTTCAATGACTACCTCCTTTTCTGTTAATTCGTAAACATAATGAAAAAATTGCTTTAAAATATAAAATACACGGAAAAAATTTAAAACTGTTCTTGTGATATTTTATGCTTGAATCACTAATTATATGATAGAGATATGATTCAAAATAAATTTAATGAACACCAATTTCAAAATACTGAAAGAGCATAAGAATGGCAGCAATTTAAATTTTTCTCAAAATACCAAATACAAATATTAAAAAATAAAATAACATTCATTAAATTCTGAAAATAACATATTGCACTTCAGTACTAATTATCACATAAAGGTGCTTACATATTATCCCAATGAACGTGAAACAATGCAATGCAGGGCGAATTATGGATATGCATGTCATAAAAATGCACCTATAAAATCTGAACTTTCATTTGATATAATCAAGAATGATTCTCAAAAAGCCCCCATTTTTTTATGAACAAAGCTATAAATTAACTGCTACAGCTGTATTTTTCCTTGCATTTTGAAACAAAAGATTAAAAATTGGAACTTGCCTTCTACAGAACAGCAAGAAGTGGATTTTTTTCAAAGTTATGGCTTTCTATCATCAAACACATGTGTATTGTTACCAAATGTACAGGTGGGGTAAAATGGCTTCCTCGCAAAGCAGTTTCAGGGTTACCATAAAATGGCAAGGGAAGGCAGAATTGCTCCATTTGGTGAGAAATCGCCCATTTAGCGACATTTGGCAACAAAATTGGCGATATACCATGGACGGTTGGAGAACCTTCCGGAATGAATTCTTACCGGTTTAGCCCAGAATGTTCTTGAACCCGCGAAAGCGATATAACCCGCTGGCCCTGCATTGTTGGATTAGCGATGGTGCGCGATTTCTCGTCCAGCAAAGCTGATAGGTCCAGGTATTGAGGCAAGTGGTCTCACTAACATGTGAGATAGTTAGTGTGTCCCCTCACTAGTGTGAATCCGTGTGGAGAATGATCGAGTTGCCAGCTGAGCACAGCGATGCCGGAGTAGCAATCAAAAGAGCTCTCCTTAAGTGACTTGTGGTTGTCGTGCACACAAAAATCCTTCTGAGAGAGTGTGTTAAAGGCTCATGGTAACTGGCTAGAACACCGAAGAGTTCGGGAGCAGTGCTCTGTGTGTTCTCGATGTGCAATCGCGTAGTTGTGCGCTGGAAGTGTCGAGAGTAATAATGTGGTAGTTCCTGGAACAAGACTTTTGTGAGCAGAGTCGGGAGCTGTACTCTAGTGCTTTGCAGCGAAGCTATCTCCACCATTATTGACTCACAGTGTGAAGGCTGTGTCGCTGATTGTTTCAGCGTCTTTATAGTAGATTTTCGACGACTGTAAAATGTGACTTTAAAGCTATCCAGAAAAATATTGGTAAATAAAGTGTGTTTCAATTTTATCAAGTAGTACTGTCATTATTCACTTAATCCTCACGAACCCCATATGAACATGAAGGAAGAAAATAACGTAACAAGTGGTGTCAGAAGAAAGAACGTAACAGTATTAATGAACACAATATGCTCAGCTGGATATGGCTGACAAAAAACAGTAATAGGTTGCAACAGTTACCTTCAGGAAGTACGTACTTATAGCATTTTAAATAAAGTTTCTGTTAAAATCAGAGGACCTAACAGAATAGTACAAATCAAAGAAAGCCTTTTTACAGAGCATAAAAATGGAGCAGATCTAGTACTCAGTGTTTATTAAATAAAGAAATGTCAATTCCTTCATAATTCTGCAAGAATGACTGGCACAGTTTTGGCAGGATCTCTGCCAACTTTCATGATTCAATGATAGTAAATTTTCAGAATTGATGGAATAATACATAAATACCAAAATAAATTTAAAATACTTTAGTGAAATTTGTATATAGAAATTACATGCACATAAATTACTGTTTAATAAACACGTAAAAAAAGGAAATGACGTAACAGTCAAATAAAATTGAAGGAAGCTAATCATCTGTTGCAGGATTTTTAGATCTTTTTCAAATTATAATTTTTTCTCTTAACTCTTGCCAGTCATTTAGATTTTATTTTCACACATTTTTTCTGGTTTACAAGTTTTTATTTATATTAGGTAATTTGCAACAGGAAAAAGATCGTCTCAAGTAAACATTTACAGTTTCTCATATGGTAATATTAGTAAATATATCAAAGAATAAATAAAGAACAAACTTACTCTATGGGATCAAAAGTGGGCCATTTGCCTTTGTCATTCCAATGTGCTTCCAAGAAATTAATAATAGAAATTTCCATAGAATTAATATCTCTATTTCCAGTAAGGGCTTCTCCTAGTTTAGTTTCATTTGCATATGCTTCAAACAACTGAAAAAAATTATTTTTGTTATTATACGCAACAATATTAAACCCTCTAAGCAGCAAGATGCTCTGGATCTACTCATGATCTGTATTTAAGAAAACAGTTGTTAGCTGTATATATAAAATTACTTACTTTCCTCTGTATTTTCATATTTTATTCATTAGCATGATAGTTATGTTATTAAAAAAATACAAAAATAATCTTTTAAACAATGAAGCAACACATTACTATGTGACCAAAAATCTCATGACTGGATAAAAAGTGTCATGCCACTCATATTAATGAAAATCTGCAGTTGCAAGATATCTTACAATTTGGAAGGAGCAGATTTAACTAAATTCTACTTTTAAATTTTCATATTGTAAATTACACTGTCTGCATCAATTATAGTTTTAATAGCTGCAAGGATTTTCCGAATTGCAATATTTTATATTATTTTCTATAATTTAAAGTAATGTTTGAAGAACATTATATAATAAAACAGCAATTTGATTGGTATATCAAATTTTACAACCAACTTTCATAGCATGTTGAACGTAAAATTTTTATACGTTTACAAGTCCTAAACCATCAAATTGATAAGCAATCTAACAATTTTAATACTTTTAATTAATACTTCTAGATTTTTTTTGAGAAGATGAGCAAAGTATGCAAGAAAATATAGTATTTTCTGATTATCCCCACATCTCACCTTCTCCAAAACCGACAAGTTTGCAACTGAACAACATTTGTGAACTCACTGGGGACTAATTTTTAAAATTTTCTCCTCCTTTTAATTTAATGTGCAAAAGGCAACAGTAATGAGAGCACACTAAAAATTCCACATATGAGCAATCCATCAATCAAATTTAAAAAGCAAGTAAAATCTGTAATATACATGTATTTTTTAAGAAATAGTACTACCTTTTCTGCTCTGGTTCTTCCCATATATCCAGCAATCTGTTTTTGTTTAAGAAACACAGAGAATTGCACCAATTGTACAATTTCAGCACTGGGCAGCAGCAAAAACACACACTTGCTAACTGCATACCTAGGTTGCACATAAATATGCTTTGCCGACATTATGGGTTGCCCAATGGTTAACTTGAGTGACATAATACTTTGCCTTATGAATATTTTTCATCACTTCTCAATGAAGGGGGCAGATAATTAGAAAATACAAAAATATAAATTAAATTGTTGGTAGTTAAAAAAAAATGCTGTTTTCAGGGAAACATAAATGTTTATTCACATGTTAACTTCTACAAGCTTATTTTGACAGGTAGAGATATAAAAAAGAACCCTCCTTTTTATAGTTCCATTTTAAACTTTCGGTAGTTAAAACACTTAAATACATTCCTAATAAAATGCTTTATGTATTTAAAATGCTTAAATACATCCACTTATACAAAAATAAATTAATGTATGTGAAAAAATTTCCTTTTAAATATTAACAATATTTTACAGAAATCAGAGCCAAAAAAACTGCATGCAATAAAACAATGTTTTATTAGCATAGTTGATAGAAATTTACAAAATCTTATTGGTGCTTCAATACATGATTCAAAGATCTTACCTTCACTAAAATAGTGGCATTTTCTGATTATCCACATCCCCACTGAAAACTAGCAAAAATGTATTGAAAGTATTCAAGAGACAACCCATGATATCACCAGAAAGTATTTATGTAGCAATCCAGCTACACATGTAACACGTCTGTTTTAATCAGTGCACAATTCCAGGGGCGTAGCTAGAGGGGGGACATCTGTCCCCGGGCGCAGAATCCAAGGGGCGCCAAACTGATGTTACGACATTTTAGAAATTAAATGTTTTCCGTCCTTGGCAAGCAGTAGGGGGGGCACGAAATCTTCAGTTGTCCCTGGGCGCTGAAAACCCTAGCTACGACCCTGCACAATTCCGAATTTGTACAATTCTGATTTATTTTACCAAAAAAATAAATACATACATAAATAAAAAAAATAAATGTGTACATGAGGAGAATAACAGCACAAAAAAATTACAGAATGATTTCTCAAAAAATGATTTTACTAATTTGTTATTACTATTTGATATATAACTTCAACTATTTGATAATAATCAATATTTCATGCTTTTTCAGTTTTACTCATTGACTGTTTTATAGATTTCCTTGTGTGTTGTTATTTTAAAAATGGTTCTAACCTTAACTTAGTGCATTAGCTTGCCCCCCTCCACCGAAAAAAAGGGAATTGATCTACCTGTGTTTATTTCATATAGTTCATAAACAGTATTTCGAGTTGACATGCTGTCACTTGTTTTTATATTACTTTTACCGTCAGCCTCAGTTTCTGTAGCTATTTAAACACATTCTATAATATAATAAGCAGTTTTTTTTATGTGGCATATCAAGATTGTCACTTCTGAACCATTTCATAATAAATTAGTAAAATTATTAATTCCCATCTATTGAACTAATTCTCGCTGCAAGAGGTAAATTTTTGACTATTTTCAACAGTAAGATTTTTTGCTTTCATTAAATATCTTTTTGATTGCTGCATCCATACTGCATGTTAATAAATCATTCTTTCAATTTCTTAAAACTACCACTGTTTTATTTTTAACATTGTGATGCATTCTGGTAATGCTCTGCAAGGCTAGTTTTATTTGCATTATTATTATTATTATTTTGCTTAATTTGCATTCCTTTAATAACTCAAGTAAAAACTTCTTTTATCCAGTTTCTTTATTTTATTCAGCTGATGATCTGCCTCTTGCTTCACACCATGCTTTTTCTGATGAACAAAGTTATTTATTTCTTTCCATTTTATAAACCGTCCAACAGTTGATGCAACATTCTCTCCTAACATTTTAGCAAAATTCAACAACTATTGTGGTAAAAACGACTTGCAGAAACATGCTTTTTTTTTTTTTTTTTTTTTTTAATTTCATAGCTTGACACCATTCTAGAAGACTAATTTCAACGATTTTCAGTTTTTTCCACTTCTTTGATACAATTGCATTTTTTGGTATATTTTCATCAATTACAATTCTCCATTTAAGTAAACTATATGATCATATTTGGGAAATTCCCAGTTTAAATGAAACTTCTCTCTTGCTGTACTTCCCCAAAATCATCATAATCTTTTAACTATTTTTTTTCACTTCTTTCAGCCTTATATCTCTTCCCCTATGCTTTTTTTGACACATTACAATTTAGAGTAGCTTAAAAAATGCTTCCTACAGTCATTTGTTCATTTTCAGAATACACTTTTCTTAGACAGCAGAAAGATTGTATATTGCCTAATTCATTGGTTGTATGTGATTAATGCTATCTTTGCTTCTTCTTCAGACTACAGCAACCAATTCTTTCCTACTGCAAAACTGATGCTGTACAAAAGGCTTGGAAGAATTTCATGAAGTTTTCTGAGGACTTCCTGTAAACACAGTATGTGTATAATAATGAGATAATTTTGAATTGAAAGCATAAGTCCACACCCTGCACCAGATGGAATTTGATAATAAGCACTTACCTATGATGCCTCCAAATCAAGGGTGTGCGAAAGCCAACCCATGAGTTAAATGCAGCCCTTCTTAATCCAGCCTGTTATGAAATTGTAATGTATTTTGCAGTAATTTACAAAACAGACAATCTTCTTAGTAGAACATAAACTTTATTTCTAGTTCACGGTGATAGACAAATTTTATACAATTTTTAAGTGGCAAAATTTGCATACTACTCCCTAGCTGGTAAAATCTTCAGAATACTAAATCTTTTTAAAACAATATCTCTCGTGCTGATAACCGGTTTATACAAATATCGTTGCCACTTCAACAATAATTATACTTATTTATTAAATAACAAGATATTACCATCTCTCCCCCCTCCAGATAAACTTTAATTTATATGTTTTTATAAATTAAAGTGTACAGTTTTTAAAACAATAATATCGCACAACAGAATTGAATACAAGATATAACATATAAGATACACTGAGGAAGAGAGGAAGGAACAAAATATTTTTTTATCTACATTGAGAAACAAATTATTTAATCAGGCCAGGGAGTACGACTTAATGCGTCTACACTTTTATGGTTTTTACCACTTTGATGAACGACAGTGTAATTCTAGGGTTGTAATACTAGTGCCCATCTCATAAGTCATAGATTTAGACTCGCATTATTTTTTAGACAAACTACTGGATTATGATCAATCATGATGAGGAATTTAGTATGCCTGTCTAAATAACATTGCAAGTTTCTTTAGAGTGAATATTATGGCGGCACGTTACCTTTCTGTGGTGGAGTACTTTTTTTCAGTTTCTGTTAACTTCTTACTGAGATATAATACTGGATGTTCATTATCTCATTCATCTTTCTGAGCTAATATAACACCCATACCAGAAACTAAAGCATCAGTTTACAAAATAAAACTCCTTATTGAAATCAGGTACGTGTAGTATAGGCCTTTGAGACAGTTTTTCCTTTAGCTCTTCAAGTGTTTTTGTGCACTCATCTGTCCAATTTGTTTTCCCTTTCTTTTAAGTTTCCTTACAAAGTTTCGGTTAAAAGGTGCTGCTATAGATGAGAAACATGGGAACATAATGATTATAATATCCAACTAATCCTAAAAATGCTCTGACTTGACTTTTTGTGGATGGCACTGGAAAATCATGAATAGCTTTTACTTTCACTTCACTTGGCATTATTATACCACGACTACAATATGTCCTAGATATTTTACTCTATCTTGAGCAAATTTACATTTTATTGGTTTAATAGTTAAACCAGCGTCCTTTATTTTGGACAAACGGCTTTCAGGTGACTTAGATGTTCTTCCCAGGTGTTTGAAAAGATTGCCACGTCATCTAAATATGGAAACAGCAAAGTTTTCACAACCGTGAAGGATTTCGGCCATCATTTTACTAAATGAAAATGGTGCATTTTTAAGTCCGAAAGGCATTCGTAGAGGTCTAAATGTGCCAAAACTTATAACAAAGTGGCTAATCTTTGAGCATTAGGTGTTAAAGGTATTTGCCAGTATCCCTTT